CCGCCATGTCCACTTAACTGATTCGACATGAGTATAAATGCCTGATCCAAGGTGGTCATTTCAGACATGCCTTAGGTGTGACAAATCTCCCCACAGTACAGGGGAGGCCTTGATTGATTTATCACAGCCTGAATCAGCCCTGTTGTCAACTCTGTATCCACTCACCATGAAACAAATGTAGTGATGTTGCAAAAGAAGTCAAAATAAAACAATGTAGATGATTTTATTAATGTGAAAAATAATCTATCTCCCAAAAACCTACAACAAGCATGTTCAATATGAAATGTAAATGATTTCCCTTTAAAATCAGAAAGTCAAGGATGCCCACATTTACTAGCTTAATTTAACATTATATTGAAGTTTCTAGCTATTTAAACAAAGCAAGAAAAATAATTAGAAAGAATAACATTGGAAAGAAAAAAATAACCATATTTAATCAGAGAGTATGTGATATACATGCTGAAAATACAAAACAGTATACAGAGTTGACAGAAGAAAAATAAATATAAAAATGTACTCTACTAAAATCTAACACCACATGTTTCCGATGGACATGAGAAATAGCATTGAAAATGTCATGCATTCAGTCATTTATTTAATAAAATATGTGAAAAATTTTTACAGAAAAGCATACAATTAAATTTTTATTATAAAAATTGAACTAAATCTAAATAAAGAGAAAAAGACATAGTAAGCTCATGATTTAGAAGACTTGGTGATACAAACTTGACATTTCTTTTAAAATGAATTTATAAATTCACGGCAATCCTAGCATGAATGCAAACAGGTATGATGCTAAAATTTGTTTGGAGAGGTGAGTTCCCAAAAATATCCCAATTACACTGTAAGAACAATAACAAATTTTCAGTAGTTTCCCTACTGGATATCAAAACTTATTAGTTATAAGAGCTTCTGACTATAAAACAAGTAGAATCATACATAGAGCCTAGACATTGACTGATGTATATATGAATACTGACTTTATGAAAATTATAACACTGAAGAAAAGTGTATAATGGAGTAATTATTTAATAAATATTGTTGAGACAAATATACATTTGTAATTTAAAATACAAAATAGGCCTAATCTCATATTACACCAAAAATTAATTCTAAATTTATCATAAAAA